GAGAGAGGCATAAGTTTTCTGAACCAATCAAATGGCAAAGTAAAGCAAAACCAATATAATCCGGATAACTTTCGACAATCAGTTGAAAATTGTTGCATTAAAAGCTATAGTTGAGTAAGTGTTTCATACATGGAAATAATGCTCCAAAAGGCTCTACTGACCTGAGGAATGTATTTTTATTTTACCTTGCACTCGTATAAAACACCGGATTTTTGACCCAACAGTTCAAATCGTCATACTATTTGTTTTTTTTAACAAGTCGCTGGTTATATGGAGTTTTGGTGAGTAAAGACTGACTCATGACTTCACAGATATCTTTAATTGGTTACGTCTGTGTTTACATTGTAAATCACAAATTCCCCTGAATTTATAGCCGTTTTGACAGTTGGGTTTTTGGTTTTATCCCGCGAAAACTGATCAAACTGATCATTAAAGCAGAAAAAGGGAATGTTTCTACATTCATTCGGACAACTTGTTATCTTAACAACATGATCACTTGATTCCCACAGGTATAAATTGATGCTTCAGTGCTGGGACCGAGAGCCATCTAGGCGACCGACATTCGAATCAGTTACGTCGTGGATGGAAAATTTAGCGCATTCTCACTGTACAGAAAGTCGGAATACCTCCCAAATTATAAGCTGGGCGTAATGTATATCAATGAACTTTTACCCACTAACAAGGTTGGAACAGAAAATACTTCAATACCAACAGGGAATGAAATGTCTTGATAAATTTTTCTGGCTTTAAATTACCATGTCGGCAAGAGAAGATAATCCTTTCTTGATGTTAATCGCGGTTCAAGGTTTTTCCTTTAGTTACGTTATCCAGCAAAGAGGTTGGAATCAATTATTGTCTATATTTTTACATCACAGAATCGATACAAATAACAATTCCTAAGTTTTTTTTATAGTTGTACAAAAAATAGGTAGATTTTAAGTATATTACTATATAAAGAACTTTATTTCTAAGTTAAATACGGTTAAAAGTATTAGTCGTACAAATAAAACATATGAAAATCTCTTAAACTGGAAAAGTTAAGTTCACTTGGCATGAACAACATGGAGAGATGCCAGTCGAATCATTCGCAGTGTATCTGATTGCCCCTTTAATCAAATAACACTGGGTGGCCCGTTTACTTTGGCTCCTGGGTTTGCATATTGGTGAAAAGAAAAGTTAAGTTGGCATGAACAACATGGAGAGATGCCAGTCGAACCATTCGCAGTGTATCTGATTGCCCCTTTAATCAAATAACACTGGGTGGCCCGTTTACTTTGGCTCCTGGGGAGTCCAACCGACTGAGTTGCTTCACCAATGAAGCTGGATATAGGAATGGAAATGATCAAGAAACACTCCCGTAATGATCAAGAAAACACTGCCGTAGAATCTAAACATGGAAGTCCCTGCCATGGCGATGGTCCAGGAAGGGAGAATGGTGTGAGCTCAACCAGACCTATCTTCCTTTTTTTAGACTCAAATATTTTTTCTTTGATGTCAACCAGAAAATTTACTTCTGGTGTGTGCCATTTGAAGAATTCTCCATCAGAAGGTGCACGCAAACAGTTTTACGTCACTTAAGTCGCCTCAAAACTAACTCAGATATCCCATTTCATACTATGCTTACTTTCTTATCCTATGCGACAACTGATGTCTTGTTATACGGAATTTATAGGGAATTCTTTCCCTATTATAGCCCATTACGGGCCAAAACACATGGATGGTTTTTGAAAAAAACATTTTTGGGTGTCTTGGATGCATGAATTCTTCATAATCGTGATCAGAATTTCATATTCCCGGTAATATTGACCCGCTATATACATGATATCGCCAATCAGCTGCTAACACGTCACTTGCCTTCCACGCCACTCAGTCAGGTTGATGAATGAACAGCGAAGTTTACACCATTCTCAATCCAAGGTCGTTTGCTGGAATTTTTTCAGATTATGGCTGCCAAACCACTGAAAAATCCGTACTGCCTAGAGAAAGTGACGTTCAAACTTTCCTAGAAGGGAGAGAAAACCAAAATACGGAAAGAAAAACCGAAAGTTGTGTATCCAGTGGCTTTGGTAATGGCATTTCTCGCGGCTGAGAACGAAAATTGACAACTAGAATATTTGTCACAAGCCGATTTTGGCCGTGTACTTAAGAGATTTCTTCTGTCGGTAAGGACCAAGTCAATAACTAAAAATTTTTTAAATTGAAAATTAGGCCCGTTGTTTGTTTTTGTAGTGTTAGTGCCTCATTCCTGTTCAAAGGCAACCAAGCACACAACTGTAAAATGGACTATTTGTCCAATTCCAGTCATTTATATTTCAGAATTCAATCCTTCTGGTTTCAAAACTCGAGTCTTTATGTTTTTGAAATTTTTGTTCCTCTTTGCCATCTATTAGATAGTTTTCTTGTTAGGAAATAAAAGACATAACCTTGTACCTTTGTCCTTCAGACTAGTAGCTCACACCTTTGAGGAGAGGGTTTCTTATATACAGCCGTTACTGAAGAAGACAGACGTATATAACGAATGGAAAGGACACTGTTAAGATATCTCCAAGTTTCTCGAGCAGCATATGGCCCGGAAGCTGAGTATTCAAGCCGTGAACGAGCTCGACTTTGCGCGGCTGCCGTTTGCACCAAGGCGCCGTTTTCATCCTTTGAGAGTTTCGTCACTGAGATCTGTCGGTTTATTGACAGTCTGCCAGACAACGCAAAAGTGGGAATCCTGCACAGTTATCAGGATCTATTTGATCGTTGGGAATCTTTGTCAAGTGATTCCGAGAGAGAGCAGACGGAGGCTGGTATTATATCACTCGGCGCCGAGGAGATAAAGCTTTTGAAAAGCTACACCAGACTCTACAAAGAGAAATTCGGCTTTCCGTTGGTAATTTGCGCTCTTTTACACAACAAAGTGACAATTTTGGAACGAATTAGAGAGCGTCTCAACAACGATAGCTACCAGGAATTAAACATCGGGATCAAAGAAGTGAAAGACATAATGGTTTTGAGAGTAAAGGACCTGACCTGACCTGCCTGAAGCAAAAGGCAGCTGTTTACGAACTTCAAGTCGCACTGGAATCCTCCTCCGATGCGGCCAAGAGAGCAAATGTGCCGATAACCATGTAAATTGTCGAGCTCTTGTTAGTCAAAATACCAAGGTCATCACAATGCTTCATCTAAGCTAAGTAAATGTAAGTTAGACTATGGAAATCGATGATAATCAATAGGTTAACCTGAGTTGTACACTGAATAATCAGAAATCAGACGAAGACGAAGACGAAGTGTGCATCTCCAGCCCTATCCGAGAAATTTCATTCAAAAGTTGGCGTAAATTAAGACGACTTAGGAACTTAAGAGGCAAGAAAGGGCAAATGACTATCCTTTTCACGCTCAAGGGTGAATTGGATCGACGGCTCCACTGAATTCAAATGCGACAGGAGGCGCTCTGCTTCATTTCCGGATACCGCAGAAATAAATTTCTTGATTTAAATGTGTCCAAAGGGGTTCAGGGTAATTTAGAGACAAGTGTCTACAGTAAACCTACCCACAGCGACAAATACCTCGCTTTCGATTCTCACCACCCTATTTGCCATAAAAAGTCTGTAGCCAAAAATTTACATAGGAGGGCTGACTGTTTACCATCTTCACTCGATTCGAAGGAAATATGTTTCCAATGTCCTAAAGGCAAATGGCTATACAAAAACTTTTCCTCCGTAACTGCCAAAAACCAGTTACAACTGGTAACGCTCTTGATGAAACGGAACCAGCGACTGGTTTTGCTGTTATTCCTTACATTCAGAGTATTACGGAACCCATCAAGAGAATTTTGAATAGCCACAACGTTAAAGTCGCTCAAAAACCTTTTCAGACTTTGGGGCATATTTTCACCAAACCTAAGGATCCT